GTACTTAACTATTGATATTATTTTTCATTAAGCATGAATACCAGCATACATTACAGATGAATATTATACTTAACCATTTTGTTCATAAATAACACATAATTATGCATATTTTATCCTCGAAAAGAACTTTTCTAATCATTAGGCGAAATTCCCCACAGTAAGTGTTGCAGTGCGCGCAAAACGAAAACGATGCACACAACCCAAAAGTACTCCTCGGGGACCAAATGGTGAAAAACTGCGAAAAGGTTTATTACTGTTAGCGATGTCATGTGCGCAAGTAAAAGGTCTACCTGAGATGCGTAAAAGTATATTACTTTCAACGCATGCATTTTTCGACATGTCTTCTGACTGCAAGTATATAAATTCATTCGCTACAATGCAGCGTATTTATGGCTATGTGTACAAATTCCTCAGTAAAGATCACTCAAGCATATTGTCGACGTTACATATTCAGAAAGGAACCTTCTATCTTTTACGAATGATTCAAAGAGTTCACTTTTCTACCGAGTATACCACACTCCAACGAAAACAACCGATTTGTTCATCCAGCTCTCTTTTTTCGTTATCACCATTCTTGGACGATTTTGGATTACTTCGTGTCGGAGGGCGACTCAAAAATGCAGGTTTGGATTTCAACTCACGTCACCCCATCTTGCTTCCAAAACGGCATCCGCTGACCGTCTCTATAATAAATTATTTTCACAAAAAACTATTACATGCTGGACCACAAGCTCTCCTAGCTTCTATTCGTTTACATTACTGGCCCATAGGTGGACGCAAAACGGTATCATATGTAGTCAACAAATGTATTGTGTGTTTCCGCTGCAGGCCAAGGCTTATGGAGCATATTATGGCTGACTTTCCCAAAGAAAGGGTGCAGGCAGCGCGTGCATTTCTAACCACTGGGGTTGATTTCTGTGGCCCATTTTATTATAACGCTGAAGTTCGAAACCGGCCTCCCACGAAGTGTTATATATGTATATTTATTTGTTTCGCTACCAAGGCGATCCACATGGAACTAGCCAAGGATTTATCAACGTCTGCGTTTCTAGCTGCTTTACAACGATTCGTAAGTCTACGTGGAAAGCCCAAAACTATCTGGTCGGATCACGCCACCAACTTTGTTGGAGCGAATAATGAGCTCGCGGAACTAAAGCAGCTATTTCTCAACAATAACCACCAGCGAATGGTACGGCAGCAGTGTTTAGATGATGGGATCGGCTGGAAATTCATTCCACCTAGGTCACCCCACTTCGGTGGCATATGGGAAGCCGCCATTAAATCAGCAAAATATCATTTTAACAGAGTTGTAGGGTCGTCAATTCTAACAGCACATAGATGATGTTCTTACACCAGCCCATTTCTTAATAGGTGGCCCCCTAACTGCGATTCCTGATCCAGATGTCACCCACCTAAACATTAACCGTCTTAGCCTTTGGCAGCGTATATCTAGCATGCAGCAAATTTTTTGGAAGAAGTGGTCGACAGAGTATCTGACGCAGCTTCAACAGCGGTCTAAATGGCGTGCTCAAAAGACTCCGATTCCTCTCGGCGCTCTTGTCTTAATAAAGGACGAAAATTTACCACCACTTCGATGGCCACTCGCAAGAGTAATTGAAACGACTCCTGGATCAGACGGCGTTGCTCGGGTGGCAGTGTTGAAAACAAGCACTGGCGTTACAAAAAGAGCTATCAGCAAGTTATGCCTTCTACCGGTGGAAAATCCTGTTGAAAGCGTTGGCTTTCAACGGCGGGAAGATGTTTTGTGAAGAGCCTCTAAGTGCCACCCTAATATGCCGACGTACATATGTACATAGTTAAGCTTTCATCTATTCAACATTTGTTCTCTCAAACTAAAAAGCAATTTGAAATACTGTTAGTTATCTAAGCTCCTGTTTTGTATTCAAGCCAGCATATGCATACATACTTTGAACAAACAATATTTTAGTAGTATAAATTACATGCACAGTAAAGTTTTTCGAGCGCTCTAATTTTGGATTCTGTTGAATAAAGACATTTGTACAGTCAAGACAAAATAGTCTCCTGACTTTAAACAACTATTACAAATTTTTAACTTGTCGAACGCAACTATTGTCTATTATTATATATACTATTACAGATTATCATAGTTCAGTGTATAACTTGTTATATTACACCGTACATGGTAATGAACTTTTAAATGCTGAAAACGATTATAACTTGTAGATCACTCAAACTTGGGTGTGCTTAATGAACTGTCTGGGCGGATGCGCTGGCAGGCATTAAGGTCTGTATAACTATACAAACCATGTTTTTTTTAATAAAGACTTTAATATATTCGGAAATTTATAATTTTGCTTGATAAATTCACATACCCAAATTCATAAAAATAAAGAACACTTTAACTGCTTTATAAATCGATTTTTTTTTATGAAAATGTCACTTTATAGAGCTCTCTAAACCTATTTTATTTTTTATGAATAAGGCCAACAACATTTACGTTTTTCATAAAAATATAATCTTATAATGGACTTTTTTTAAATTTAAAACTTACATTTAAGAAAACTCCATTCACACAAGCGTTAATTAAGTACTTAACTATTGATATTATTTTTCATTAAGCATGAATACCAGCATACATTACAGATGAATATTATACTTAACCATTTTGTTCATAAATAACACATAATTATGCATATTTTATCCTCGAAAAGAACTTTTCTAATCATTAGGCGAAATTCCCCACAGTAAGTGTTGCAGTGCGCGCAAAACGAAAACGATGCACACAACCCAAAAGTACTCCTCGGGGACCAAATGGTGAAAAACTGCGAAAAGGTTTATTACTGTTAGCGATGTCATGTGCGCAAGTAAAAGGTCTACCTGAGATGCGTAAAAGTATATTACTTTCAACGCATGCATTTTTCGACATGTCTTCTGACTGCAAGTATATAAATTCATTCGCTACAATGCAGCGTATTTATGGCTATGTGTACAAATTCCTCAGTAAAGATCACTCAAGCATATTGTCGACGTTACATATTCAGAAAGGAACCTTCTATCTTTTACGAATGATTCAAAGAGTTCACTTTTCTACCGAGTATACCACACTCCAACGAAAACAACCGATTTGTTCATCCAGCTCTCTTTTTT